CGAGCACCGCGACCAACAACCAATCACATGAATGTCCCGCCCCCGACATACAAAACAAAAAAACCCCGGGGATTTTATGCGAGCAATATATATATAAATATATATATAAACTCCCCAAACAGACGAAAACCTACCAGTTTCACCCACTGTCTCTGCCACCTCCCTCCATGCCTGGTTCCTCCGGTTTGTATCCCGGTAAATAGTTCTGGTCGTAAAGAACCGGGTGATTTGCTACCGTAATTTCTCGTTTGGAATATGAGGAAATGAACTGCGGTATGTCTCTCCCAGCTTGCACGCGGTTTGATAGGCTAGCGCTTGAACTGTCAGATTTGCATAAACGGGATTTGATTGGCTGACGCTTCCAGCTCAGCTTCAAAAGTTGAGCAAACTTTTGAATCCTGAAAATCCTGGAAATGTTTGCTTCGCTTCCCCACAATGCAGTTCGGCGAAAAGCGAGGCAAAGTGACGTCATCCCCATTCAAAGTCAATGGGCAGAGAAGCGTTGGAAGCGTTGGAAGATTTGTTTAAAGCTGCTGTGTGGACGTACCGTAAGACACAGTAACTTCAGAAGTGACACTGCAGTGAGATATCGGGTCTTGTTTTTAGACAATGCATCACCTTGTTAAGTCAAATAATCTTATTTTGAATCGTATCTCAGATGAAACGCATATTTTTTTACATATTTATTAGAAAAACACCAACTAACATCAGAAAACAGAAAACCTTTGAGCATTTGCGGCTTATATTGTAACAACATCTCCTGATTCTGGTCAAATATAGTTCAAAATGAGTTCTCCCAGCTAATTACAAGATCTGATTTATCTAAATATCCCTTCTTATTTCAAGAAATCTAACCAAGCTAATTTTCACTTGTTCTTTTGGCAGATTTTTGTACTTATTTCAAGTGAAAACAGCTTGTTTTCACATTTTCCAGTGTATGATATTACGATATCCAAAAATGAAGAGGATATCCATTCCATATAACATTTATATATCACCCAGACATTAAGCTATTCTAATTATTCTTGTGTGAAGTCTTACCTCTCCTATCGGTTCAGTCTTATTGCTTTTTCTGCAAAAACATCTGAATTCAAAAAAGGTTTATCTTACCTTACCTCGGTTGCATGTAGGTAGATCTTGCGTGTGCAAACTTCACAGACTTAACTTTGTGTGTATAAGCATTCATGTGTTTTTCTTTATTGTCTTTGCATGCATGTTCAGAGGCTTTATGAATCTGCTGTTTGCATATGCGTGTGTTTGCATGTTTATTCCCCCTCCCCCTCCTCTCTTCTGGTTCAGTGCGTGTTATGGCACACGGATCTCTGCTTTTATTACTCTGCACAAACTCCTGCTAATAAACTTGGTCACAGTGGGCAAACACACAATTTCCAAATGCACTTTGCCTGTCCAAACAAGCTGAATTCTTCCTATTAAGTTCCAATTCTGGGATTTCACACTCCAGTCTATTCTGCGTTCGGCTCTCCCTGCTGAAAAGCAAAAAAGGATTTAATCCACATATTCATTTTTCAGTTGAGTAATCGGTAGGCTGGGCGTTTAGACTACGCTTTCAATATAGCAATTGCAATAATAGACACAATATCTCCTGCTAACACACAAGGCCCACAGCAGCCAGGCAATAAATACACATGCATTCACTCTTACTGCAAAATATATTTCTATTCCCAGGCCTGGCTCTGCTTTTCTCTGATTTTAAAATGAGTTACCATTTTCACAGCGGCTGGTTTTTAGGTTTTACAGCACATTTCCTGTGAAGTACAAGCTTTCAAAGTTGAAGAATAGCTGGCTGTCTACGCAAGCTGCAGAAATAATCAGTTTTGTGTCCTCAGTGATATTCAGCTCTTATCAATGTCTGGAAATTGAACCTGCTTTCTATGACGTCTGCAGACCTTGCAAGTACATACCCTTCTCACAAACNTATGTCTCTACACCTGCTATAACGGTACGTCCACACAGCAGCTTTGAAAAAATCTTGAAAATCTTGGAGCTGGGCGTGTCTGAGATTTTGGGGATTTTTGAAAAATCCCCAAAATCTCAGACACGCCCAGCTCCAAGATTTTCAAGATTTTTTCAAAGCTGCTGTGTGGACGTACCGTTATAGCAGGTGTAGAGACATATTCTGACTAGATATTAGAGAAAGATACTTGGCAAGATTTCGAGTTTTTGTAGTGAATGCAATAATTATTGTTTTCCCTGGTTTTAAAGGATGCAGTAAAAAATGTTATTTTCTCGTTTTTAGTTTGGGTCTTTACCTTTTAAATTGCCACATTACTAATGATGGTTTATCCAAAGCACCTAAAAGTCTAAACCCTATATCTAATGCTGCGTTCACACCGGACGCGATGCGATTTTTGGGGGCGGCGCGATTACATGTAAAGACAATGCAGAGATGCGGACAGACGCGAATTCGCTCCGACGGCGAGCATGAAGCGGTGGACGCGGCGCGAATCACGCAATTGAGGCGATTGAAGGGGGCCTCGTCAAACTCAAGAGTTCAATTTTTTCAACTCGAGCGTCAAATTCACGTGACGCGTTCTCGCGAAAGCCAATCAGCGTTGGGATTCCCTCTGACGTCCTGCTGTTGATCGGTTGTAAAGATGGAAGAGATGGTCGTTGTGGCTGTGAGTGGGTTCCCGGAGATTTACGATACAATGTCGNCCCGGGACTCACGGGTTCTCGACTGAGTAAGACAACTGTGGACTGCTTTTATTCTTTGATAACTTAAAATCCACCACCGAATTGAATCACCGTAGTAGGACGATGCACTGTAGATCATAGCCGTAACAATAGCTTAACCAGTCAGTACCCCTGACCTACGTAAGAAGAAGAGGAGATAATGTCGAAAACGAGACGAGCGCCGGCGGACACAGCCCTGTTGTTAGATTCGGTGCGCCTTCACATAAACCGTTCCATAGGTTAGGTGACTAAGTAAATATAACTGGGATTGGCGTTATTTCTATCTTGACATGGTTTTTTGTTAGACCTGTACGTACTTTTGGTGTAAATAAAAGGGTCGTCGGCGTCGGCGCCGTCGGGCCGCGCAGACCACGTGTAGCAAAGCCTATCGAGTTCAAGTCGGTTGCCGTTCGCCCTGTGTTTTGGCGGACCTCCTCCTAGAGAGCTGAACTCGTTTGGGTGCGCTGTCTTCAGCGGTTGGTTCTTGGGTAGCAGCCTGTGGCCTCTCGAAGGGGGCCTCCCAACCCCGTCCGGGACCCGAGTCTTGTCACCATCTTCAGTGTGCCGTTAGCTTCTTTTTTTTAACAATGGGAGACAATCGTATAACACTAACTTCCCATCGAACTTTCCGTAACTATTCGTGCATGTTTCTTTGTTAGAGTGTACAAATGACAGGCAGCTTCTCTGTGTTACATTGAGTCGATGATGCGACGTAAGGAGCATTCCTGACGGGGTAGGAGACAAACCCTGTTCGTCAAAAATGTGACAAACTGTGTTTTACTGCTGGGCAGATACATTTCCATCAGCTGTCCCAGAGTCACAGACATTCCCACGCTGTGTGGGGAATTTAGAGAATCTTTTGGAATGGGACAACTCCCCTCATGCCACCCTTGTTACTCAGACTGCTGCACCCCCCCCAAAATATCAGAGCCAGCCCCTCACCCCCAGCCAGGCAATGAAAGGGTGATGATGGCCTTTGGACCAAAAAAGTGTAACATTTGACCTTCAACCCCTCCAAATGTGTGGGAAGGTCCGCTAAATGAGTTGAATGTTTCTTACAGCCCACTGCCCATAATACAATTAAGGGGTTAGCTGAGGTTGTGAGCTTCAATATTGTCAGACACCACTTAACTATGTGTAGATGTTCAGTTCTCATTAGTACATTTAACACCGCTTTGAAGGGACGACAACATCCCCGACTTGTCTTTACAGCTGATTGTGTTTCATTTTGAGAAACTTGCATACCCAATTACGTTACAAACCTAAAATGTGTCATTTTCCTACAAAACGGCCACATGATTTCCTATATGAATATAGTACTCAAGATACTGTTTCGAGGTCCATTAATGTAATGAGTTGTGTCAGGTTCAGTTTAACACTAGCCATTCAAGTGACATTGATACTATACTTTGTTAAGCCATAAACATGGAAGAAAAATTAAAAAATAAAACATTTGGACAAATCCAACAGGGAGATAAATCTTCTCTCTGGCTGATTGTGTCACTTCAGGAGTTACATTTCCAGTTTTTATGCATATCAATAATCTTTAAACTAATAGTTTTGAGCCAGAACTTCAAGTATTTGTACCTTGTTATAAAATTAAATGTGCTAAATATAGTAACCAACGCTGTTAGCTCCATGTTTAACACACACAATAACAACATCTAATGATTGGGATCAAAGCCAAATAAACTTCACTGGGAATTGGGACATCTCAATTCTTTAAGAATCATATTTTACAAATGAGCATTAAGATCTAAAAGTGCAGACTCACTCTCACCTGAGGGCTGTCCAAATCCAAATCCTGTAGATGAAGATGTGGTGGTGTTACTCCCAAACACAGGCCCTGGCCCAAATCCAGAGCTCTGGCCAAATGCCGGTGCTGTGGTTTGTCCGAACAGTCCTGCCCCGGTGCTGCTGGCTGTGTTGGCGCTGCTCGTGCCGAAGGAGAAGGAACTGGCATTGGTGGCAGTGGCGGCACCGAAGAGACTTCCTCCAGTAGTTGCGCTGTTAGAACTCGCACCAAATGCAGATTGGCCAAAAGAAAAGCCGCCAGGTGTTTCAGTGTTGGTGGCAGGTTGGCCGAAGCCACTCACCTGGCCAAACACAGAATTTCCAAAACCAGGTGCAGAGGGTGTACCAAACGCAGTTGAGCCAAACCCTGGGGCTGAGGGGGCAGAGGAAGCTGGAGGGGCAGCAGGTTGCCCAAACACAGTGCTAGCAGTAGTAGCTGTGCTAACAACAGTGGAGGTAGGGGTGGTGCCTGCAGCGGCAACTGTGCTGATAACTGGTGTAGCTCCGAGGGAACTGCTGTCCGTTATTGTGGGGGTCGTTTGAGTGAAAATGGAGCCTGGTTTGTCAGAACTGGGCACCTGGAAGGCTGTTGGAGCTACAGCAGGGGTGGGTGCTACAGCAGGGGCGGGGGCAGCAGATGTGGGCACAGGACTAGCGGTCGTGGTGCTGTCTAGGGGGGCTTCTGTTGTGGGAGCCGCACTGGCTGGTGGGACTGCATCAGCTGGGGCGGTGAAATATGAGGGAGGGTATGGGGGCGGGGAGGTTGCGGCCAAAGGAAGTGAGGGCGATGGTGCTGTAATCGCTGTGGTTTCTGAGGCAGCTGCATCTTCTGCAGGCTCGGGGGCTGCAGGGGGGCTGGGGCTCTCTACAGCTGGAGGTGGGGTGGGTTCATAAGGTGGTGGGGAACCTTTCTGCTCCTCTGAAGGGTCTGGAGAAGCCGCAAGAAGACTGCTGAAAGACGTAGGTGAAGCCAAGGCCGTTAAACCGGACTGAGGGATGGAGAAGGCCGGCTTGGGGTTTTGTTCAGGGGGCTTGAACAAACTCCCTGACGCTGCCCCCTTGGAAAGGTCCGCTCCTGCAGAATCGTCTGCAGACTTTTGTGGGCCTGGAGCAAAGCTAAACTGCGCCGCTCCCTTGCCTAGACCGAGTCCAGTTTCCCCAAAGCTAAATGAGCCAGCGGTGGGTTTGGCGGATGCATCTTGGGCTTCTTCTCCATGGCCCACACGTAGTCCAGAGAAGATGCCCAGAGTTTCCCCCCCAATGGTCTTCAGGGGCTGTGGCTCTGTCCTCAGGGCCGGTTTGTCTCCTGACATGTTTAGGGGCAGGGTGGGGGAGGCGGTGCCGAGAGCAGGGGAGGGAGACTTTGGGGTGAGGGAGAATGGCTCCTCTGCCGACTGGCCAAACATCATCTTACCATTTCCACCAAAGGAGAATTTATTCGCATCGTTAACTGGAAAGACATAAACAAAAGTCATTGAATGTGTGACCATTTGACATCGGCCTCATAACGATCCGCTACAAAGCTACTTTATTGTTTGTTTACCTTGTGGCACTCCAGCTGCCGGTGTGACAGAAGAAAAACTGTAGCCAGTGGCCCTGCAAAATAAATTAAAGTCTGAATGAACCAACAGTAAGAGCATCCTGGCTTGGAAACTGGATGGTGACAAGGTTCCAGTCCCTGATAGACCACAAAAAACTAGTTTACCCCCTCAGCCTTGCCAAGCTACCGGACCCCCAACTGCTCTGACACCTCTTGATTACTACATGTGTTTGTGCATGTGTGTATTTCTGGTGTAATGTATATACTGTAACAGCCAAGTGAATATTCAACTTCCCCTTGTAGGAGTAATAAAGTATGTGTTTTTCTTCTTCTGTGATGTAACTTATTTCAAACTGAAACAGAACAAGGGAACACAGTTGTATCATAGTGATCGTCACACCCACAGATTATCAGTCAGGGACAGAGGGAGACATCATAATTGGAAAAGTTGATATTTTGCTACTTGTGCGAGGGGTTTTGATAATATTCAAAATGTTTTAAATGTTTTTGAGACTTTGACTTTCTACTTAGTCTAAACAACAAATACATTTCTGAACATATAAGAGACTCTTATGCTGCGTTCGCACCGGACACGATGCGAATATTCGCATCGCTCCAATCTCCAAAAGTTTCACCGCGGCTTGCAGTTTGTTTTATCGCGTCATTCAAAAACAGACATACCGTTGACGCGCCGCGACGTTGACGGACAGTTGAGGTTGTTTACACTTCCATGCAAGATCGTTTTGGTTATTTCTGTCCTTGACTATGGAGGATATAACAACTATTGCTGCTTTGTACCTTCTGTGGAAGTCCTACAAACGTAGCAACAAACGCCGCTCTGTCTGGGTTCTTATTCTCCTCCAAGCCAGCTCCTTTTTTTTTGCGGTCCCGGTAGATATAGGCTACGACATTGTATCGTAAACCTCCGGGAACCCACTCACAGCCACAACGATCATCTCTTCCATCTTTACAACTGATCAACAGCAAGACCTCAGAGGGACGTCAGAGGGAATCCGAACGTTGATTGGCTTTTGCGAGAACGCGTCACGTGAATTTGACGCTCGAGTTGAAAAAAAAAAGTTCTCTCGCGTTTGCCCCAGCCCCTTCAAATATCCTCAATCGTGTGATTTGGGCCCGTCCACCGCTTCATGCGCGCCGTCGGAGCGAATTCGTGTCTGTCCGCGTCTCTGCATTGACTTTACATGTAATCGCGCCGCCCCCAAAAATCGCATCGCGTCAGGTGTGAACGCAGCATTATATGTCCATAAATATAAAATACACTATTTGTTTACTCGTTTTTAGGGATGCACGATATTGTTTTTTTGAAACCGATACCGATAACTTCCTGCTTCTCAAGACCGATACCGATAACCGATAATAATATAATATATATATATATGAAATGTACCTGTAGTTTTTTGCACACCTGGTGGTAAAAAAGACTAGTAGTGAGCAAGTGACATGAGCATTACTACTATGAACAAAACAAAGCCAAGAACAGTTTCAAAAGCCTCGTCGATAGGTAAAAGCCCCGGTGCCTTTGCAGCTGGCTTTGGATTTGCCGCTAGTTTAGCAGCGCAGGCGTCTTCGTACGCTTTTAACACACCATCGTAACGATGGCGATGTTTCAGGTGACTAATCAGGTTGGTATTGTACTGTGATGAAATTTCTGTAGAGCGAAACATCAATAATTGTTATACATGTTAAAAATGTTGGAGAGTAGACGTAGTCTGAAAAATAAATGAATTATTGACGAACCAGTAGTAGAGTCGCAGTTAGTAGGTTTGTCTCCGAGGTCACGAGACGGATCGTGGGCGTCTTCGGATGGTTGTGGCGCGTTGTCCAAGAGGGATAGCGTAGTCCCACCGCAGTTGAACCCTTTTTGAATTTTTCTCGTAAGTCTCTTATATATTTTGTCTCATCACCACGTGCTATTAATAGCCAGCGGCTATAATTGACCTTAGATAGCTGCAGTAGGGTGTTTGGTTGGCAGTGTGGGGCGGCTGATTTTTCATGTAATTATCGGGGGGCTATGTCTAATCGTAGTGATTAAAAAGCGCCCATTGTTTTTATTATTTTTATGATGTCACACCGCACCTAACCCTACTCCCCGCGAACCAAAAAGTTGAGCGGGAGGGCAAAAGCGTGCATTGACATCCATGGAGATTCACCGAAATCCTTCTCCCCTCAAGAGGTAGGGTCGCGGTCGGCAGGGATTGCCGGGCAGATTGATGTTCCGGGTAGTTTTTACAACTTCGACACCGACAGACTTCGAACCGCTAAAAAACGCTGGTTGTTGGTTGAGTGGGACTAGAGGGGCGGTGGCTGTAGGTTTCGTTCATCGCTTACAGATTTACCCCGCCTCATTTGAGGCCGCTATAGTGTTTGGAGAGGTGTTGTCGCTTTGGATGTTTTGCAAACGTGTTACGAGAGACGGTGGAGGAGGTACGAGACGGCCAAACATAGGGGCATTTATGCGAGGACCAGCATTTCTTGCGCGCACTTAAACGATGCCCATTATAGAGCACAACCTTGATACTCCTTTACTTGCGCCTGACCGGAGAGGGTCGAACGTGCGCCAATACTAACCGATGCGGCGAACGTGAGCCGCCTAAACGTATTTGCCCTTAAACTAACCGACTACGGTTCGGTAGCTTCGGCTATCTTACGAGCACCACGAACGTTCTGTACGGTACGAGGGTGTGTCGTCGTCAAGTCGCTTCTAATTTTTAAAGATGCAGTGGGGTACCAGTTCACTTACCCGCTTCGCAACTTTCGTAAAAAGCTACGACATGCCATTCGTGGCACGGCATTGGCGACGGACCGACACTGGCATTTACTACACGCCCGCAGCTTGCGGTCCTGTGCATGGGCTGTGTTTGTACACAGCCATCATAGCCTGATAAAGTTTCAAAGTCTCAATCTATAAGCGAACGATAAACATAATTGTTACGTTACGTCTTCAAGGTGCTCCTCCCTTTTCCGTGTTCTGNCCACCGCTTCATGCTCGCCGTCGGAGCGAATTCGCGTCTGTCCGCATCTCTGCATTGACTTTACATGCAATCGCGCCGCCCCCAAAAATCGCATCGCGTCCGGTGACGCGATGCGATTTTTGGGGGCGGCGCGATTGCATGTAAAGTCAATGCAGAGATGCGGACAGACGCGAATTCGCTCCGACGGCGAGCATGAAGCGGTGGACGCGGCGCGAATCACGCAATTGAGGCGATTGAAGGGGGCCTCGTCAAACTCAAGAGTTCAATTTTTTCAACTCGAGCGTCAAATTCACGTGACGCGTTCTCGCGAAAGCCAATCAGCGTTGGGATTCCCTCTGACGTCCTGCTGTTGATCGGTTGTAAAGATGGAAGAGATGGTCGTTGTGGCTGTGAGTGGGTTCCCGGAGATTTACGATACAATGTCGTATATCTACCGGGACCGCAACAAAAAGGAGCTGGCTTGGAGGAGAATAAGAGCCCAGACACGACGGCGTTTGTTGCTACGTTTGTAGGGCGTTTGTTATATCATCCATAGTCAAGGACAGAAATAACAAAAACGATCTTGCATGGAAGTGTAAACAACCTCAACTGTCCGTCAACGGCGCGGCGCGTCAACGGTATGTCTGTTTTGAATGACACGATAAAAAACAGCAAGCCGCGGTGAAACTTGAGCGATTGGAGCGAAGCGAATATTCGCATTGCGTCCGGTGTGAACGCAGCATTACAATATCATCACAATAATCATTCTTAAACATTGTGATATTTGATATACAATAATAAGATTGAACATATAAATTAAAAACGGTTTACCATCAAATAGATATGAATAAATATGAATATAAATACATTTCCGGTATATAGAGCAAGTTATATGTGCATAAGGTGCAGGTTGTTGATGTTTTAAACATTTTAAAGTGGGGTCAAGCCTTTATATTGGAGCTTAATGGCTTCTGGCACAAGATTGATGGAGAGAAAGACAGATAATCAGACAGACCGTAAGACAGAAAGACAGACAGATTGTAATCGGGGGACAGAAGGGAGCGAACTGCCTGAGAGACGGTATCTTCCTGAGAGGTAGAGCAGTGAAGGCGCTCACCCAGAAAACAGAAAGTGAAAGGTGTGTTAGAGAGAGACGGTGGATAAAAGGTGATCCTCTCTCACTCCCAACCCCCCAGTGGTCACACAGGCCAAAATAAAAGCTGTCTGAGTGCTGAGGCAGGAGGAGGGGCCGCTCACCGCTGAAGTGTCTGCATTGTTGACATCTGCTGTAAGTAGAAAGAAACAAAAAGGAGTGTGAGGCTTTTCAGCCAATGTGCAGAAGAAGTGATGTTTCAGGCTTCGAGGGAACAGTCTACTCACTTGTTCTCCAATGATCACAATTAATATCAATAATAGTTCAAGTTATTTCTCATTTTATTATAGAAGATAGGTTGCAAAAGACATTAAACCATGAGATTGTATTCAGAACTATTTCAACTGTACAGAACAGATTACTTCGACCAAAAATATCTACCTGGTGGAAATGACTTAGCGATACATAATCCAGAAAAGAATAGCACCAATTTTGAAGTATGATGTCGCCCCACACTAGATGATGAGATGAAAGGATTCCTGGTGATGATGTTGAAGTATGATTGATTTGATTTTAATGATAGGAAAGTTATGAACTAAATTCAGAAGCAAATTTTACTCAAATAAAAAGCCTCAGTGTTTAAAAAACGTCTGCACCCTTTTGCTTCTTGTCTTCCATCACCAGCCTCACAGCAGGTGGTTTGCGTGATAGAAGAAGAAGAAGAAGAAGCCATTTCTTCTCATGAGGATTACTTCTGTTTTGGGATATGCTGCCTACTACCACTGATTTCCTCAGAGAGGGCATTTTTCCAAGCATTACAGCCAACCACCAGATGCTTCTATATGAAGCCACTCATGCACATACACATCTGAAAAATGACATATGGCAGAGGAAGGATAATCATAACACCATAAATTCTGCTACCACGCGAACAATTACCTTTTCTATTCATCAAGATCCAATCCCATTTGCTTGTTCAGACAGAATCAGCCAGGGACGGAGAGGACGCCAACACAGACAGACAAATGATGTAAGCTGCGGATTACGACTAAAATAATTGTGCCCTTTGTGACTTCAGCTGGTGCTTCTCGTTGCATACTCATTGATCTGGATCGCTCAAAAACAATAAACAAACATCTGAGTCTAGGAGACATTTCGGAGGAAGAGTGAGAGAGAAAACTGGCCTTCTTAATAGCTTTTTCAAAGTGAATCAGTGAAGCAAAGTGACTTTACAGCCCCAACCCTCCCATTCTGCAGAAAATGTGATTTTCACAGAGAAATGTTTCCAATAAGAAGTTGTTGTTTGTCAGCTCTCATTAAGGCAGACAGATTGTGTCTCTTCCTGGCGTGGCAAAGCTGCGATCAGTGTTGCCGTGTTATACATGTAAACACTGTCACATTGCACAAATGGAGAGGATGTTTCCTTCAAAGCCGAACAGCGTTCCCTACATTTAATGAATTATTTAAAGCTACGAGGCCAACATGACGTGCGCAGCGCTCAAATATAGGTGCACTGAATGAGATTGCATGTACACTCGCAATCAGAGAGAAGTGTCCGAGTGCAAACAGTGAGAAGGAAGTAGATGTTTTGGCGCAGTGGTTAGAGCGTTGATCATCAGATCAAGAGGCGTTGGTGAACTCCAGTTCGAATCCCGCCTCGGCCGCCACTGCGTCAGGCCGTTGTGTCCTTGGGCAAGACACTTCAACCGCATTTGCTCCTGTGGGTAATGTCCACAGTAATGACTCTTACATGTCTAATATGTGTAATGTGTAATTGTAAAGCGCTTTGAGCACCTGTAGAAGCGCTCTAATAAAAAATGTAATGCATTATTATTATTATTATTATTATGTATAATAGATGTATGTAAATCTAATTTGTCTGGCAGAAGAGATGCACCTCTGAACTCTCCCTGTCACAAAAGCACAGCGGACGATATATAATTCCAGACATGTGCAGGTAATATAATTGTCCCTGCAAGAGCTCATTCGACAACATAATTGTGGTGTTTCCATCAAATCCCCACGTTAAATAAAGAGATTCCCCGTTGTGCGAGGTAAACGCTGACAGGGGAAGGGGTTTCTCCTCTCCTCTCCTTTTTGGCATTCTTCCTATCACTGCTCAACATAATGTGTAATTACTGGTAGACTGAAACGTACCCGGGCAATTAGTTTGTAGCTTAGTTAAACTCTGTTGTTGCCTCTATCAAGGACATTTGTATGGAGATTGTTTTTTCCCCTACCTGTCGAACAATGACATTTTCAGTTTCATCAAAGTCATTTTTAAAAAACAGCATAATGTTCACAAGCTTTGTCTGTTATGCTTATTATTGGTTTTCCCTCTTCCTGTAGTTTGGTGTATATGTTTGTGTGCATGTAAATGGTCTGCAAAGGCTAAAATCCTAACCAATCAGAGCATTGAAGCCCCAGGATAAGCACAAAATACTAATATGAACCTGAAAATGAGCATTAATATGTCCTCTTTAATATGTGAAGCACGTTGCACTAAAGGCCATTCCAGGTCAATGATGTCACAAAAGGGATTTTCCAATCAGCTGTCAAAAGCCAAACATGTCACTGAAACAGACGCCAACATGAACCCAATGACGAGCAGTTTGTCACAGAGTATTGAACACTATTGACGCAGTGATATATGAATACCTCCATCATCTCAGAGACAATCATGGCTAGCTTCCAATTCTGATGTATGATTAACATTGACCACAAGCATTGATCCGATCCACTGTTCATTCTTTTTGTACCATTGCTTTGTGTGTAGTTTCTCCAATATTTCATCTGATCCTCCTCCCCCGCCCCACTCCTCACAAAATGCCCTTTAAGACAGGCGCAGAGATCTTTATTCATTATCATAATCCCCTGGTCATGTCTCCTGAATACATTGCCATTTGAAACCAAGCATGCGTGCGTCATTATAATAGGCCATACCCTGAAACTAAAAAGTTAACCGAGGAAAAAGGAGCAGAGTCTGAAATGTGGCACGTTTTTCTTTTTTTAAATCCAATCCACAGATATAACCATTTACAAAATGAATAGTGGGTTTCAGAGAAGTGCTGGTGGCGCTTATTAATCAAGACGTTTTTCAGGATGAACGATTCGGGAGGCTTAGCGATTTTTTTCTAAGTTATTAGAAGAGGGGAATGACTCTCCATACATATACAGTGATAGTTTGTGATGATCCCAAATGATGTAGACTAATACGGAATCACATCCTCACTGAAAGCTAGTCCTGAAGGAGCCAACGAAATGTCAGACACATTTAGAAACAGTCAATTGAGCTATTGCAGAACCACCGGTGATAACGGCTGGTTTGATGAGATCTCACTTGGCATGCAGGTCCATAAATTCAGCAGAGAATTACATCCACATCCTTCAGCGGAACACTTTATGGTAACCTGACGTTTCCTGCAAGTCAAATGAATAATCTAAATATCACACAGTTACATTTCATAGGACTCAAGGGTAGCCCTTAGTATAATTTAAAGTACTGTCGATTTATATTTAACATGTATGATTTATCTCAATCTTATGGAAGAGGATTAGGGCCACATGATTATTTTTTTTGTGAGGATTTGAAAAATTATTCTGACTTTAATCTCAGAATTGTGAGATTAAAGTCAGAATTGTGAGATTAAAGTCAGAATTCTGACTTTTTTCTCACAATAAATTTTTTTTTCAAATCCTCCAAAGATTTTTTTTAATGTGGCCCTAATCCTCTTCCGTACAATCTAATATGTTAGTGAGATTATACTTATTATACAACTCTACTCTTCTTTTAGCTTTTAGTTTTGGCATCATTTCATTTGTGGATATATAATGTTATCAGAAACAATTAGGTAAGAGGTTTTGGTCGAGCTGGTGGAGACCAAACCAGAGTTTAAAAAGGAAGTTTAAAATCAGATTTAGATTCTGCTTTATGTACTCTTCATGTGTAATTAGGCAACTGTTGATGCTTGGGATTTTCGGGGATTGTAAACCCCTTTATGGCAAATCTTGGACTATACAAACAACATTAAATAGCTTTTTTCCCCAGTCGCAATGTCCGGTTTTAAGGATTATCAGCTCGTTTTGGAGAGCTTCTGAAAAAATAAAATCAAGGCACCTGTAAGTAATATCTTTAGTTTTTTACTTTTGAGAGAGCGAAACGTCACAGATTACCCATCATGCCTGGCTGTCAGAGCAGAAGAACCTGTATGTGCGCTCACAGAGCATGCGCCTCTTAAGCCCCGCCCCCCGAGCTCCCACTCTCGGCTCAGTTGAATGAATGGTGAGAGAAAATAAATCTAGATTCGGCTTTGAGTGCATTTTACAACTTTAAGGACCGAATATTTCTAATAAGGGCTATAAATTAGTTCAAACTGGGTAGTTTATTTAGTTTCAAAAAAGATTTACAGACGTCTCTTTCTCCATGTTAGTCAATGGGAAAAAGTCTTTCTGGGCCCAGGGATGTCACGGACTGATACGGAAATGTTAGTACCGCCGTTTGGACACAACGAATATTGGGCACAGAGTCCGGCGCACTTCCTGGGGGCTTGGCGTTGGGTCAGAAAAGAGACCGATTTCCTGTTTCCATCACATATTAAAGTGTAAATTCTTCTCCCATTGGTCGGCTTTGCCAGGGGCGGGTCCAAGGCACGTTCTGTCGTTTTCTGATGTTAGTTTTACAATATTAAAATATCTGTCGGTCATTTAAACATTCCCTAATAATAGTATTGCAGTGTCAATAAGTGAGGGTTAAAGACAGTGTGCTTAGTGTGCAACACCACGTGTCATTTATCCTTAAATTCCCGTACACAAAATATAATATTAGCTACATGCTAATGCTAACCAGAAGTTGACAATATTTACTCGCGAAAACCGGAAGTCGAGTGTTTGAACATCCGGTTTTCAGAAAAAAAGCAGCTTTAAATTAGAACAGTGTGTTAATTTAAAGTTACAGCACATAATATTGATTTTATTTTTCTTACATTACCGTGCTAATTTAACAGGCTCTGTTGCCTACTTCCTCTGCAGCAACTTGTTTTCTCCATCAACCCTGATGCCAAATGAGACAAATTCATCTTCAACAATCAAGCTCACGTTACTCCCTGATCACCAAGGAGGGGGAAAATGTGTCGAAGCGTGGCAGAATCTTCTTTGGCCAAACGTATTTGGTTATTGCATGGCTGACACATCTGCATGAAGGGAAATTATTTTTCTTTTTCTCCTGCCCGACCCCTTTCCGTTATGTTCTCGCTCTGCACCTCCAGCTACCGTGTCCCAGAATGCACTGTTCAGCGAAGTGCTCACTTCCTCATATGATATTAATGGAGATGGTATTGGTCGTTTGCCAGGTTGGTGTTCACTTTACAGGAAATGGCCGTGGCTGTGATTGATTCATTTTGAAGACGTTGTCATTGGTGACATTTTCAGCTACAACCTCCAGTGCGGAGACATGGATCATACTTTGAGTCCTTTAAACAGCTATGAGAGTCAGGTAATGGCCCGATGCAGATCTACCTGGACAAAATCCAATCGCAAGCAGAGCCAGAATCTCATTTAGTGTAATTAAAGCCTTTAAAAAAAAAGGGCCTGAATGTGTTATACATGTTCAACTCGAGGATGAATCCATCTTGGGCCATTAAAATATCGTAAGGATAGATCTGAAATGTGATATGCATGGAGATCCTTTTAAAGTGAAAAAAAGGTGGCCGTCTAGATGAAGTAAAAGCACAGTTAAAATGTGCTTTATTATAGATTTCCCCATCTCCTGAACATAGCAAGTCATATGTCGTCGTGTCACGTATTTATGAGCGACTGATACAATGCTGAAAGGTAAGCATGACCAATGGAAGAAATGGAGAGATAGCTTCAGAGGCTTAGTCCTGGTATCTACAGATCTACAAAAACATCCCTCTATCTATTTTTCATGTATTATTCATATTTCTAACCTTACACGCAGACACAAATAAATGTACATTATATAATATTGTTGGTTACAGAGCTGAGGAAAAATGGCTTCAAGATAATGAGACTTGGAAAAAGATTATATTTCACATAGCCCATAGTCAGATCTAAGTTTATTGTCGATGTATCAGTACATGTCTGCGTTTTGTCTCACTTACATAGCTTATATTAAGTTTAAGTTTTCATTATCTGACTTCCAAATATTTGATTTTTCTATTACATTGTATTGATTTATTTTTCAAAAGGAGAAGGATTCCTCTCCCAGGACGGATTGATTTGAATTAGACATTTTGTTTACCGGATAAACAACATAATAAAATGACAACATAGAAAATATATGAAAAAATGATTATGAAAAGGCTGTGTTTTTTGCTGTTGCTTTCTTGATTTGGTCTGGACATCTCTGGTTCTGATTTGATTGGTTCCTGTGTAACAGTTAATCAGGTGATTGTTGAGTTGGTATACGTTGCCTTCTCTGTAGAGCTTCCTACGCTGAGAAAAGCCTGCTAGCACTCTGCAATCTACCAAAGTGTATGAGGTTAAATGCACACACAGTCATGTCACGTACACTTAAATGCTGCACACACACACACACACACATCTGGGACTCGGCCCGTCGCCAAGCACAACTTGTGTGAGTGTGTGTGTGTAGGGGTTAAAAAACCTGAATGCAGAGGGAGCCATCTATAGGGGGGTTCCTAATCACCACACAAAGGGCTTCTCTTGGTCTGCAGCCATCACATTTCACTTTGTGTGTAATGCAATCTCTTTAATATCCCGGTCAGTCCTTTCAACCCCAGAAATGCTTAGACAGACGTTTTTACCATAATAGCCTCATAGATCAGGGCTACAGTATCCAGGTGCTGCACATCAGCCAATCACAGCCTCAGATAAGAGCTAACGCTGCCTCTCAAGGTGAGAGTGTGTGTGTGTGTGTGTGTGTGTGTGTGTGTGTGTGTGTGTGTGTGTGTGTGTGTGTGTGTGTGTGTGTGTGTGTGTGTGTGTGCGTGCGTGTGTGTGTGTGTGAGGAGGGGGAGGGGTCAATGCAAAACAGCTGTAGCTGCTGCTGGATGTCAGGCGCCGTTTGGCCCCCCTTAGCTGCTCGGTTTGATAACATCTGAACTCTGTAGTTATGTGCCCTTGATTTACGAGCTATCTCTGCCCAGCTGGGCCTCTTTATGCCTGTCAGGAATAGTGAGGTCATGAGCTTTAACCTGTGAATATTATTTCTTTAAAAAAGGGCTTTTTTGGTTTTCTATTTACTGTAGCATGTTATGTTTTTTTGCATGTACATTTTCTGCAAAGGCTAAAATCCCCGGTTGGAACATAATGACATCACTATGTAACACTTGCGCTTCTATTGGCTAGCGCTCCAACACATTGTCCATGATAAGCTATGGGGCGGGACATCTCTAAGCGGTTGACCAATCACAACAGAGCCGGCCAGCTAACCAATCAGAGCAGACTGGGCTCTGGTTTCAGAAAGAGGGTGAAAAGAGGTGCTGCAGCACAGGCAGTATGAGAACAATAAAGAGCTTTTTGAACATTAAAGCATGGAGACATGTCCCAGTAGACACACATAAAGATATCATTTATTTTATTTACTATATGTACTTTATGTGTCATGTTCTACAGTTCACCAAAGGCACGTTATTGTTCCTGTGTGTCAGAAATCAGCATGTCAAAGAAATGTGATTATTTGCCATCTGAAAAGTGAGGTGAGCTCTGTTTTGTAATATAACTTTTGTAAAGAACAGGAATGGAGGTCTTTGGTGTAATGATCCTGACATCATTACTCAGTCGTGGGTTTCTCTCGCAGGTCCAGATCAATGTGTCATACAGTAACTGCTTTCTCCATGCTTTTTAAACCTCAGCATTTCATTCTGCACACTGGCAGTCTCAAATTAAATGATTTAGTCCACAGAGACGTAACCCTGCTGGAACAGGGCTAGCTAGGGATTTTACAGCTTCTGAAAAACCGTATAAATCAGGTCTCAGATGTCTCGCTGCCAGGTTTTAGGAACGACCTTGGGCACGGGAGACTGTATTTAGAGTAAAAGGCATTTAGCTGAATTTACAGCTACAGTCACAAATATCAAAAGCTAAGAGGAAGGATGGGGTAATTAAAAGGGTACATACAAAGCAATTAAGAAAGTGTTGGAACATTAGCAGCTGTATGTGATTTCACTGCATGAAATGAATTACTGTATAATTTAGAAATATGATTGAGCAGTTCAGCAGCAAGGCAAAGTTAGACATATGTGAGTGATAGAGCCGTTTAACTGAAGTATGGACCAAAGGAGAAATAATGAAGGAAAATTAGGGACGTATGTGATACACGCAATTTAATAATGCTTCATTAATTATACGCTGAAGAAAGCAGCTTCTGAAATCCTGCAGGGAGAAAAATAAACAAAACACCTTTTCTCTCTTAGTGTATTTCTTAATTTTTGTGTTTCTTTCAACTTCCTCTACCTCTGATTGTTCTCTTTGTACCTTTATGTTCTAACTCCCCAAGTACTTCTCTCAATTTGCATATCTCCCCTTTTCTCTTTCACTCTCATGGCCTCCTCAATTCACTTTTCATGCCTCCTTGTCTTTCTCAATCCAGTGTTGAGAAGGTTAATCTAAAGTGCTCCAAACGTCCTGCTCCTGTATCCCAACTCTCCCACGCATACATAGAAATGCATTCACTTGATCAAACATTAGCAACTAATTCACCCAATCCCATTGAGAATTCCCTCTGTAGGCTTCATCTACAAAGGCACAAGATTACGGTTGCTTCTCCACCGCCTGATTGTATCGCCCTCGCACCAACCTTGAGATAACTAATTGTAAAACATCAAGGTGAGAGAAGCAGTTGCTGCATTTGCAATGAAGGCTCGATCCAAGTCCCCGGACAGGAGAGCAGATCTGCGCGGATTCGGGGGGGGATATACGCCATAAGGAGAAGAGGAACAAGATCCAGATGCCCAATAGGTCAATCAAAGGATAACATGGAGTTAAGAATCGGCACCGTCAAGGACGTCTAAGTGAAATCGATTTCTGCGAGTCCGATCTAAGGGAATTTGAATCGACAGCTCCACTGTGGCTGGACTCAGCAGGAACTCGCAGGACTGTTGGTTTCTGAGTTTTTGCTGCAAGAGTTGTGTAGGCAATTGGGGCAAAAAAAAAGCACCCAGCTGGGAGTGAGTTCAATACCTGCAACTGTACAGCTGACTAAGAGATTACAGTTGGTTTTTTGCGCAATCATTCCTTGTGAATCCAAACCTTAATAAAGACGATACTGGATACTGCTCATTTTCAGGTTCATTTGTGTATGTAGTGTCTCTCCTTTAAAGAGTCCTCTCCTGCTGATGTTCAGGTGTATATCAGTATGTAGTGTCTCTACTTTAAAGAGTCCTCTCCTGCTGATGTTCAGGTGTATATCAGTATGTAGTGTCTCTACTTTAAAGAGTCCTCTCCTGCTGATGTTCAGGTGTATATCAGTATGTAGTGTCTCTACTTTAAAGAGTCCCCTCCTGCTGTTGTTCAGGTGTATATCAGTATGTAGTGTCTCTACTTTAAAGAGTCCCCTCCTGCTGAGGTTCAGGTGTATATCAGTATGTAGTGTCTCTACTATGACATGTCTCTATGCTTTAATGTTCAAAAAGCTCTTTATTTTTCTCATACTGCCTGTGCTCCAGCACCTCTTTTCACCCTCCGTCTGAAACCAAAGCCCAGTCTGCTCTGATTGGTTAGCTGGCGTGTATTGATGTCCCGCCCCTTAGCCCATCACGTACAATGTTTTTGAGTGCTAGTCAATAGAAGCACGAGTGTTACATAGCGATGTGTTTATGTCACAGAAGTACACAACCATGTCCAATGGAGGCCTTCTGTATGTTTTTGATGCACGAATTGAATGTTTTCTGTTGAGTTCAAGATGTCCTAAATTGTCCAATTGGAAATGGAGTAGGCTTCCCATCAAAAAAAGATTTGTAACCTACCGCACCTAACCTTTTCTGGCTTATAGGTTTATGGGTATTAAGTTCCTCTTGTAACAGAATATTCTTTGTTAAATAAAGTCCAAGAGTCACACCAAGAGTAAAAAGTC